TAATATATATAATATAATGTAATATAAATAATATACCATACCATAATATAATAGAATATTTTTATTGTTTAATTATATTAATCCATCACTAAATGTCCAATTTGTCCTTTGACCCTGGAAGTGGAGCTGCCCACGAGGCCCTTTATAAAGACACCAAGGGGAGTTTAATACACCAAATATTAATTAATTATTAACTTAATATTTTATAATAATAGTATATAATATAATATAATATAATATAATAGTATATAATATAATTATATAATATATTTATTATATTATATTATATTATATTATATTAATTATATATATTATATTATATTTTAATAATATCAATCCATCACTAAATCTCAAACCCTGTGGCCCTGGAAGAGCCCATGAGGAGGAGCCAAAACCCGGAGGAGAATCCCGGGGGAGGCTCCGAGGATGCTGCCGGGGTTGCCATGGGCACGGGGCCGTTGCCATGGCTACCGAGGGATGCAGGAGCGGCTGCCGGAGATAAAACCCGCTCAGAACCACCCCGCAGGCTTAGCTAGGCTGGCGCTTAACGGCAGCTGGGGTTCCAAGGGGATTTATTCAGGAAAATTGGGATTTTTAAAGGAAAAACTGCGTTTTGTGAGGCGTGGCTGTGGTGGGTTCCCTCAGAGCTTGATGGCGGCTGGGGTTCCAAGGGGATTTATTCAGGAAAATTTGAATTTATTTAGGAAAAACTGCATTGGGATCTTGAATAAAATCCAGCTAGGAATCGGGATCTTGTCCCTCACTGAGTAAAATCCAGCTGGGAATTAGGATCTTGTCCCACACTGAGTAAAATTCATTTGGGAATTGGGATCTTGTTCCTCACAGTAAAATCCAGCTGGGAATTGGGATTTTGTCCCTCACTGAGTAAACTCCAGCTGGGAATTGGGATCTTGTCCCACACTGAGTAAAATTCATTTGGGAATTGGGATCTTGTCCCTCACCGAGTAAAATCCAGCTGGGAATTGGGATCTTGTCCCTCACTGAGTAAAATTCATTTGGGAATTGGGATCTTGTCCCTCACTGAGTAAAATCCAGCTGGGAATTGGGACCTCGTCCCTCCCTCACTCCTTGCTGCAGAAAGAGCCTTAAAAGGAACATTTTGAGGATGAAATTCTGAACAATTCCCCACAGCAGCTCCTTTGTGTCTCAGCTTCCCGAGCTGTTTTTGGGGGATGATGAGAAAAACGGATGGAAGAGGTCACAGACCCTTTTTGTGGAGAAGAAAAAGAGGCTGGTGTTCAATGAAAACAGGGAGGAAAATCGGGGGAAATGGAGTAAGAATGGGGAAATTGAATGCTGTTACAATTGCAGGAACGAGCTGAGCCTGGCTGGAGTTTTCCTGCATTTCTCCTCCGTTCCGGGAATAGAGACGAGCAATTTGGGCCCTGAAATAGGAAATTTATAAACAAGTTGTGCCCTGAAAGAAGAAATTTATGAACAATTTGTGTCCTGAAATAGGAGCTGGGCAGCAGCACCTGGCTGAGCAGAGCTGCCAGGCCAGCAGGCAGAGCTGCCAGAGCCCTGAATTATTGATTATTTATGGATTATTGACACTTCCCGGGGCAGCAGGGACAGCAGGAGTGAGGTGAGGGGCTGAATTCCAAGGGGGTTGGAGAAGGGAAATGGTTAATCAATACCAGTTAGTTAAGTGCTTAGAAGGTAAGGAACACAGATCCAGATAAAGTGAGATAGAGGAAAAAAACAAAACTCAAAGAACAGGGATCCAGATAAAGTGAGATAGAGGAAAAAAAACAAAACTCAAAGAACAGGGATCCAGATAAAGTGAGATAGAGGAAAAAAAACAAAACTCAAAGAACAGGGATCCAGATAAAGTGAGATAGGAAAAAAAACCCTCACAGAACACAGATCCTAACTGAGACAGAAAACCCAAACCTCTCTGACAGAGGAGACACCAAAACATTTAAAAAATCCACTTAGCAGCTGGAAAGGAGCTGATTCAGTCTTGAATTTATCAACACAAAAATGAAGAGGAGACAAGGTGCCTCTGTGAGGGTGGGGCTGCAGGTTAATCAAAAATCCTGGGACTGCAGGTTAATCAAAAATCCTGGCTCTGCTTCAGGTGAGGAATCATCATCCAGCTCATCCTCACTTTGTATTTTTGCCCCTGGTAAACTGAGTGCCCTCCTGTTGGTTCAGGACAATTTTCTGGATTATTCCTGGGGGATTTACCATTAACTCAAAGATCCTCCCATTTTTAATCCATCCACATCCCAGGCCAGGAACGGGGGTATTCATGGATTTATAATAAACATTTATTTTGGGGTGAATCCCTCTGCCATTCATTATTTATCTGTAATTTAGAGTGGCCCAGCTACAAGAAATAACCTCAGCAAGAAGGTCCAGCTCAATTAATCTCATTTCTTTGCAAACCCACTGGATTTGATGACCCCAAAGGTCTTTTCTAGTTTAAAAAACTCCAGGTTTGTCTCTGTGATTTATTTAATCAGTGAATAGATTCAGTAAATATTATTGCTTTTATGCTATTTAACATTAAAAGTCCATAATCCCTTTTTGCTCTCCTGCACCACCAAGTGGAGATTACAGTATTTAAAATATGGCACTGCTGTGGAGAGTATAAAAAATTATCATAAAAAATAAATTTATAAAATAAATTATAAAAATAAATTTATAAAACAGCATTATAAAAATTATTATTATATTAATTTATTATAACAAGTCATTAAAATTTATAATTTTTTTAATAAGGCAAACATCTTCTTTTAATAATCTCAGCATTTTTAGGCCTTCAAAATGCATCCAGCTGGGAGCTTTATATTTCCTGGCTGAACCCCAGGTAAGAACATTTTCCACACACCTCTCCCCACTATAACCCCCTCTGACCCCAAAATCCTCCATTTTAACGCTGATTTTTGGCGCCATCAGATGGTTTCTGTGTGGGCTGAGGACATCCCTGAGGATGGGTGTTCCTGCAGAAATCCTTTTGGGGTTTCCACTCTAAATCCCCTTGGAAAAAAACCTTTCCAATGCTGACCTCTGCAGGCTGAGGAACTGCTTAAAACCCCGGGCAGCAATAACCTAAATAATGCATAAACCAGGTGTTTTTACTGCTGCTGGCTGTGGGTAGGAAAAGCCTATAACAAAATAAAAAAAAACCCTATAAATAATGCATAAAAATGGGGCATTTCTCTCTCAGCTGGCAGACAGAGAGCGTTTATGGGGAGGGAAATCCTCGTTTGGTGGATCTGCAAACCCCTGGATGGATTCTGTGAATAATTTGCTGGTTGGACAAAGCCCTGCCAAAGCAGGGGGTGAAGGATCTGAATGAAAAGCAGGAATTTCACACCAAAAAAAAAATCACAAATTGGGAGATAAAGGGCTGGGCTTCCTTGGGATGGGGGGGCAGAGACCCCTGCCCACACCAGGGGATGGATCAAGATGATTTTTGATGTCCCTTCCAACCCAAACCATTCCACGGTTGTACCCACAGCCAAACCCCGCTTCACCTGCAGTTTCAGCCTGGAGTCCCCAGCTCTAATTAAGCTCAAATTAAGCTCTAATTAACAGCACCTCTAGGCCAGCAGGGCCCCCACCCCTACAGTGGTGTTATTGGGGGTGGAGATGGGGGTCCCATGGGGTTTGGGCCATCCATGTCCTCGGGCCCAGAGCCTGGAGCCCTCATGGCCGTGTCACCCCTCAGACCTGGAGCCCTCATGGCCGTGTCACCCCTTGGCCCTGGAGCCACCTCAGGCCTGTCCCCATGTCCCTGTCACCCCCTCAGCCACAACCCCAGTCCTGGAGCCCCCTCAGCTCCTGAACCCCTCTGGCCACAATCCCGGCCCCAGAGCCCCCCTCAGTCCTGGAGCCCCCTCAGCCATAACCTCAACCCTGAAGTCCCCCTAAAACCCCTTCAAACCCAAAGCCATGGTGTCCCCTCACCCCAAAGCCCCTCAGCCATGGGCTCCCCTCACCCAAAGCCCCTCAGCCATGGGCTCCCCTCACCCCAAAGCCCCTCGGCCCTACAGCCCCCTCACCCCAAAGCCCCTCAGAACCGTTCCCTGTGGGACATGAAGGGCGTGAACAGAAGAGCCAGGGGCAGATTTTAGGGGAGGATTTTAATGTGCCCCACACAGCCCGGGGGTGCCGGGAGTGGGGGATTGCTGTGGGGTGTGAGAGGGATGGGGGAGCCTCCCCTTCCAGCTGGGATCAGCCAGGAGCCCCCCAGAGATCCCAAATCTCCGGGTGTCCCACACCCAGGAAGGACGCCAGACCCCAAAGGACACCGAGAAAGAGACGTCAGAAGGATCCAAAGCCCTGAAGGGTGCCAGAGGGATCCAGAGCTTTGGCACGGGTTTGTGCTTTGCGTTTGGGTTTGGGTTGGGTTTGTGGCAGCGGTTGGGGCGCCGCACCCGGCAGAGCCCCGTCCTAGAGCTTGAGCGCTGTGACACGGGGGATGTGGAAGGGACAGGTCTCCTCTGACCCCGTGGAGCTGCAGAAGAGATGGAGAAAGCCCGAGGGATGGTCAGGGAGGGGTCCACACCCCCATCCCCATGTCTTCCCCATCCCTTTGTCCTCCTTGTCCCCGTGTCCTCCCCATCCCCTTGTCCTCCTTGCCCTTGTGTCATCCCCATCCCCTTCTCCTCCTGCCCCATGTTCCCTTCATCCTCTTCTCCTCCCTGTCCCCGTGTCCTCCCATCTCCTTATCCTCCCATCTCCTTATCCTCCCAGCCCCCTGTGTTCCCCATCCCCTTGTCCCCCCGTCCCCGTGTCCCCCCGTCCCCTCTCACATGAGGCGGTTGCGGATGGGGCGGAAGTGTTTGGTGAGTCTGACGGCGAAGATGATGCTGGGGATGAGGAAGAAGGTGCAGCAGCCCAGGCTGAACCAGAAGGCGTTCTGCAAGGAGAACCCACCGGGCTGAGCGGCGCCGGGGGGGCAGGGGCAGCCCCGGGGCTCCGGAGGGGCTCGGGGAGCCTCGGTGCTCCTGCACCTCCTCCCCGAGCCCCAAGGAGGGGGATCCTTACCCAGGGCTCAGCGATGCGGTCGCACAGGATGACCCGCCCGTTGTCCAGGGCCGTGGCGAGCGGCTGGCACGAAGCCACGTCCTCCCTCAGCTGCAACGAGACAAGGCATCAGCCCATGCCTGGCTGCTGGCGTGCATTTTGCTTGTGGGAGGGATCCATGGGGGCTCCTGGGCCCCAAAAATCCCCGCGGGGTCACGGGGAGCTCTCACCGTCTGCCCGACCCAGTTGAGGTACTGGGCGAAATAGCGCAGCTCCTTCCTGGTGAAGCAGCCGAGCTCCTGCGCAGGGGGAAGGCAGCGTGGAGGGAGAATCCCGCACTTCCCAGTCCGGATTTAACCCGCAGTTCCCCAGCCTCCATCCCCGCGTTCCACATCCCGGCTCCATCCCCGAATTCCCCATCCTGGCTCCATCCCCGCGTTCCACATCCTGGCTCCATCCCCGCACTCCCCATCCCGGCTCCAGCCTCTCTCCGGGCTAATGCAGGCTGGGAAACGAGGGCTGAAGGCTCCCTGTGCCCTCTTCTCCCTCTTTCCTCCTGGCTGCGGGGGATTCCATTCCATTCCATTCCATTCCATTCCATTCCATTCCGTTCCATTCCATTCCGTTCCGTTCCGTTCCACCCCTGCTGGTTCGCCCAGCCCCGCCTCACCTGCCGCAGGATCTGCTGGGCCTGCAGGGGCAGCCGGGCTTCCACCGAAGCCGTGGTGGCCAGCGTCCTCCTCACCCGCTCCTGGGGAAGCACAGGGAGGGCAGAGCATCCTTAGGGCCCGGAGCAGCAGGGGGGTGCCCGGGTGGGGCAGGGAGCAGCCCCAAATTGGGTCTGGGTGCCGGGCAGGGAAAGGGGGATGTGCCCTGAGCAGGGGGATTTCTGGTTTGTGACAGCAAATCTAATCCCTAAAGGAGGCCAGTTCTCCTGGCTGGCATTTTTCCTGGCTCTCCCATCACCCTGCAGCTGTATTTTTTTTGGTTTTTTTTTTTTTTTTTTTTTTTGGCAGATGGGACCCATGGAGCACCACGAGTTTTTTGGGGCAGGAAGAGACGCGTGAGTACCTTGAGGTGTGGCGCCAAGCGGGAGAGGAACTGGACGCTTTCCCCCAGCTTTGCCTGCGGGACAGGGAGGTGAGAAAGGTTCAGAAACCTCATTGCCCCCTTCAAGGGGACACCCTGCCGCCAGCCCAGCACAGACTCACCACCAAAGCCTCCTGCGACTGCACCGTGGAGTTCTGCATGTGCCACAGCGCCCTCGCCTCCGCTGCCAGCCGCCCGGCCACCGTGCTGTTCCTCTGCGGGGCACAGCGGGGTCAGCCCGGCCCCGTGGCCACCGAGGGCTCCCCCTTTGCCCGCCCCGCCGCTCACCTGCATCTTCTGCAGCCCCTCCAGGTTCCTCGCCAAACCTGGCAGGCTGGTCTGCACCACGGGGTTCTTCATCTGCAGGGAAACGGAGTCGGGGGCTGCCCAAAATGCAGCCCCACACCCTGCAGCGGGCCCGGCTCACGGCGAGCACCCCTCACCTCCTCCTGGAAGCGCCCGTAGTCCACCTCGTCCACCCCGCTGCGGGCGAAGGTCTCCAGGTCCTGCCTGCCCTCGCTGCGGAGGAGCCGCACGTCCCCCAGGTCCGCCGTGAAGTCGCCCAGGCGTTTTTGGAAGTCAGCCGTGTACTGTAGGGTCAGGCAAGGCGTTCTGCAGGGCTCCCAGTGACCCCAGTAAAGCTCCTGCGTCCCCCTGGCGCGCCCAGCAGCTCCGGCCGGAGCCGGCCCTCACCTGGGGGGTTTTCAGGTGCTCATCCAGGTCGTAGGAGCTGTCGAGCTGCAGCACCTCCCAGAGCCCCGCGCCGCTCTTGCACTCCCTGCAAGGCACAGGGGGCATTGGCAGAGTGACCCCAAAGCCGCCCTGGCGGCTCGGGGCGGCTCCTGCGGCGCTCACCGGTATGCCGAGCTGAGGTTGGAGTCCCTCCGGAGGTTGAGCTGGCGGGTGACGTTCATGGACGGAGGGAGATTCCCGGGGGTGTCGATGAACTGGGCCAAACAGGAGGAGAAACGGGGTCAGGGTAAGGCAGGGGCGCTCCCAGCAGGGATTCTGGGCGTGCTCTGCCCTCGCAGGGGTGTCCTGGGGGAGCTCATGGCAGCCTGAACTAATTTTGGGTTTATTTGGACATTCCCCACTGTGAAACGTCACCGAGTGTGTTTGGAGGGACCCGCCCGTGTGTGGCACTGCCATGGGGACAGTCCTGACGCCAGTCCCACGGCCCCAATCCCTCTCCCAGCCCCATCACCCGTCTGCCCACCCCAAGTAGCCCAGGGGTGCCCAAGGACCAGGGAACAGCAATTAGGAAGTGAATTAACAGCACAAAGGCTGTTAATCCCAGCTGATGATGCAAATCCGAGGAGCTAATCCTAAACTTAATCTTCTGGTCTAGGACTGGGCTTTTCCAGTCGGGTTTAGGGGGAGGACACAGAGCCTTTGGAGGTGTTTTGGTGCACAGAAAGAAAGATTTACAGGGCGATGGGTGGATGTGTGGCCACCCACCTTATAAATCTCCTGGTTGACCCAGTTCCTGCAAACCAGCGTCTGGATGTTGCCCCCGACCAGGAAGGTGGCGAAAACCAGGAGGATGAGGAGCCAGGAGAACAGGAAAGCCAAGCCCACGCCGCTGAAAGAGGGAGAGGAGGCGCCGCTGGTGGCTTCGCAGCCCCGAGCGGGCAGGAAGGGACCTGCCCGTCCAGCTGCAGCCCCGCGGCTCCTTCCCGAGCCCGGGCACGCCGGGCTGGGCAGGGCCCCGGCAGCGGGGTGTGCCGGCCAGCGGGAGCTGCCAGCTCCCAGGGAGGAGCAGCTTCTCCCAAAGCTGCCGGCGCAGGCGGTGGCTTCAAAAGTTTTTCCGCTGGGACCTCTCCCAGTCCCTCCCTTGGCTTTGCCTCGTTTTTTTTGGGGGGGTGTGTGAGATGGAGCAGCCCCCCAGCACGCAGAGAGGCGCTTACACCAGGAGAAACTTGGCGCCGGCTTCTCCCCGGCACTCGTAGTCGCTGGGGTCCTCCCGCTTGGAAAGCCCGTACGCCCCCAGGGCCATTCCCGTCACGTTGCAGGCGAGGATGAGGAGGATGATGGAGCACAGCACCGTGCCCGCGATCCACCTGGAGGGAAGAGCAGCAGGGCACAGCCTCGAGACGCGGGGCTGAGGCACCTGGGGCTCGGGGCCGTTCTCTGCCGCAGCCCCTGCGCCCGCCCTGCCCCCGGGCTCACCTGTAGCGCTCGAAGCGCTCCGCCTCCCGCAGGTACGGCCGGCTCCGGTGCTCCGCCTCCAGCAGCGCCTCGCTCGCCGGCCGCGTGTAGTCGGGGAGGGGGAAGCCGTCGGCGATGGACTGCACCTTCTCCGCCGTGCGGGCCAGATCGGCCCGCAGATCTGCGGGGCCAGGGCTGGGCTGCAGCGCTGGACGGTCCCTGCGCCCCACCCCGTGTCCCCAAAAGGATTCACCGCGTGGGGGATGTCCCCACTCGGTGTGGCAGCCCCACTCACCCTGGATGACCTGCGCCATCCTCTCCACGGCCAGCTCCGGGATGGAGTTGAAGGTGCCATTGCCCTGCAGGGAAAGAGGGGGTGCTGAGCAGCTCAGCTGGAGCTACCTGCGGGTACTGGACCCCCCACACTTCACCCCGACCCCCCAACCTGGCGAATCATCTCCGCAAAGTCACTTCGGGGCAGACCAGCCAGCGCCTTCAACACCTTCTCCACCGACGGCACCTTGGGGTGGAGAAAGCACCCTGTGAGCCCCGGGGCAGCGGTGTGGGGAGGTGACCAGGGGGACCAGGAGCCTGTGCCCACCTTGCCGTAGTCGGCGCCCAGCTGCAGGCCGTGAGCCCTGCCCAGGACGCTGGCGCAGGAGGTGCAGCGCGGGTCGTCGAGGAGCGCGACCACGCGGCTCCTCCGCTCCCGCAGCGCCGGCTCCAGCTCGGCCCGCGCCGCCGCCAGCGCCCGCGCCGTCCTGTGCACGATCTGTAAATGGTGCAGCGAGGTCTGTAGGTCTTAAAGAGAAAGGCCAGGGCTAGGTCACGCTGCTCCACTCAGAGCCCCGGCGAGGCTTCGGCCCCGCTGGCGGTGCCGGGGACAGCGGCGCTCCGGCCGTACCTCCGGCCCTGTCCTGCAGGTCGGCCAGCGCCGCGTAGGTCATGGCCTTGAGCTGCGCGTGGATGGAGAGCCCCACGCTCCTGCTGAGCCCTGCAAGGCACCATGGCACCGTCAGCACCGCGTCCATCCCCGGGGCAAGCTCGGGGTGCTGCCCGCGCCGTGCTTACCGCCCAGGTCGGAGATGATCTGCTTTCGGGGCACCTCGAACTTGTCCACCACCATCTGCACGCCCTGCCGGGAAAGAGGAGCAGGTCAGCCGGGGGCAGCAGCCGCCGGGAGGGGAGTCAGCCCCGCGTTGCCATTCGGAACACATTTTTAACGCAGCCACGTCATCTCCTCTTGCCTGCCAAACTATCCCTGAGGGGATCCCTGGGCCATCCCTGGCTAGCGCCCCGCGCCGGGGGCGAGGCCGCTCGGAGACCCACCTGGGGGACGTTGGCAAGGTGCTGCCGCAGCGTGCGCAGGGTGGAGGGCACGGCCCCCAGCCCCGGCTCCATCTGCCCCTTCACCCGCTGGCTGGTGACGAAGGCGCAGGTGACGCTGACCCTGCGAGGAACGAGCAGGCGGTGATGGCACAGCCCGGCAGGACGCGGTTCCCCCCGCCCGGCGCGGGTTTTGGGGGGTGATTTGTGGGACTCACAGGATGACGAGGGAGGTGAAGGACAGGCAGGTCAGCAGGCAGCGGCGGCGGCAGCCCAGCGAGCGCCGGTGGGCGCGGAGGCGGCCCCCGCAGCGCCGCCGGCTCCGGCAGTAGCAGAAGCACATCCCAGCCACGGGCACGGCCACGGTGAAGAGCAGAGCCACGGCGGCACAGACGACATAGCCCAGCTCGTACTGCACCACCTGCGCCACGGGAGAGCCTCGTCGGCACCTCTGCACCAAGCTCGGGGTGCTGCAGGTGCCCTGTGCCAGGTGGAAAACATCCCCATGGCATCCCCTGCCCCACGGCCCGGCTCACCTGCGACGTCCGCACCGAGCCGGGGTCGTTCAGGGCTGTCCTGAGCAGCTCTGCAAAAAATAAATCATGGCACAGGCAGAGGAGGCAACACCCAGTGCATCCCCAACCTTCCTGGGGCAGCAGCACCGGGACAGAGGCAGAACCCTCTTCTGAACCCCTGGGGACCCCTGGAGCTGCTCTGGGACAGAGGCAGGACCCCCTCCTCAACCCCTGGGGACCCCTGGAGCCGCTCTGGGACGCGGGGATCGCAGCCAGCAGAACGCCCGAGGTCCTGGCAGCAGTGGGATTGCTCTGCTTGAGGTGAGGAATCATTATCCAGCTCATCCTCACTTTGTATTTTTTCCCCTAGTAAACAGAGTGTTCTCCACTTGGTTCAGGATAATTTTCTAGATTATTTGTGGGGAATTTGCCATTAACTCAAAGATCCTCCCATTTTTAATCCATCCACATCCCAGGCCAGGAACGGGGATATTCACGGACTTATAACAAACATTTACTTTGGGGTGAATCCCTCTGCCATTCATTATTTATCTGTAATTTAGAGTGGCCCAGCGACAATAAATAATAATAATTAATCTAATTTCTTTGCAAACCCACTGGATCTGTCGACCCCAAAGCTCTTTCCCCCCGGCTCGGGGCTCACCTGTGGGCAGCGGGTTCTGCTGGATGAGGTCCAGGCAGCGCCGGACGAGGCCGTAGAGGGGATCGAGCGAGCTGGGCACGCGGTGCAGCGCCGGCACCCGGATCTCGGCGTGCCTGTCGGTGAAGCGCAGCACGGCACCGGGGCTGCCCGGCTGGCACTGCTGGCTGCCAGCCTCACGCAGCAGCAGCGCCCAGGCCAGCAGCAGCCCTGCCGCCCGCATGGCTCCGGGAGCGGACAGCGAGGGGCTCCGTCAGCCTGCGAGCGGGCAGAGGGGCATGGCCGGACCCGCTCCGGCTGGGCTGCTGCTCCGGGAAACCTGCCTGACGGGTCAGCAAAGCCCAGACGCTGCCGTGGCTTGTTCCCCCCACGGGCTCCCCGGGGCGGCTGCGTGGAGGCGGCTCCCAAACCATCCCAGGCCTGTTTCGCAAGCCCCGGCATCCCTGAGTCACCGCCGCGGGGTCCCCGCTGTCGAGGCCTGTCCCCAGACCCACGGCAAAGCCTCCCCGGGGTTTTGGGGAGGGGGATTGGGGGTGCTGAACCCCCTGTGCTGGGCAACACCACAGACAGCTTGGAAGGAGGGATTTGGGGTTTTGGGGTGGTAAATGAGGGGTGGCAATGCCCTCGTGTGTGGATGGGGCACCCAGGGGTCAGAATCACCCTTTGGAAAAGCATCCTGAGAGCTGGGGTAGCAACAAGGAGACAAAACCAGGAGGAGCACGTGGAGAGGGGCACCGAGCCCCAGCCGGGTGTGAGATTGAGTTCTGCAGCCTCAGCCGGCGCCTGCCCCACACCCCGAGGTGCCACGGCTCCTTCCCAGGGCCCGGATCCTCCTCGGCGGCACGGGTCGAGCGCTAATTACAGGCTGGGCTGGAAGCTCAGGAGGTTCAACCTGATCTCTGGGAGCTGGGGGAGCAGCCCCGCTGCGCCCAGACGGCCGCGGGGCACCCCGAGAGCCGCGACCCTGCTCGGCCGGGCGGTCGGACCGGCCCTTCCCCTCCGCCGGCCGCCCACGGCCCCGTCTCCCCGGCGTGGATGCTAATCCGGTGCTTCCCCTCCGCTGGAAAAGGGCTTTTCTCCCAGTTTTATTCCAGGCTCATCCCCACCACCCGCTTGGGAATGGGATGTTGGGGATGGGAAAATCCTGTCCGGCTCGGTTTGTGCCATGCCGGGTCAGGAATTCCTGGGATTTTCAGGATTTCTGTGCCCGGCAAGGGAGCCCTGGATGCCCACGCTGGTGCTGGGCAGTGATGGGGATGGCAGGGATGATTTCCCACCGTGATTTCGCATTCTCACCGTGATTTCCCAACCACAGCCTCCATTTCCCGTTCCCACGGTGATTTCCTAAGCCCAGCCTGGATTTCCCATCCTCATTCCCATTTGACTTCCATGTCCATGAGGATTTCCCATCCCCACGAGGATTTCCCATCCCACAATAGTTCCCCATCCCCATGAGGATTTCCCATCCCACCCTGACTTCCATGTCCATGATGATGATTTCCCATCCCACAATCATTTCCCATCCCACAAGGATTTCCCATCCCACAATCATTTCCCATCCCCAAGAGGATTTCCCATCCCCATTCCCATTTGACTCCCATGTCCACAATGAGATTTCCCATCCCCACCATCATTCCCCACTCCCACCATGATTTCCCTCCAGTTCGGTGCCGGTTCTGTCCCAGCTCAGTGGCCCTGGTTCGGTCCCGATTCAGTCCCAATTCGGTCCCAATTTGGTCCTGGCTCAGTGTCCCCATTTTGGTGTCCCCGGTTCGGTGGTCCTGGTTTTGTCCCTGTTCGGTCCCGGTTCTGTCCCGGTTCTGTCCCGGTTCGGTGCCGGTTCGGTGCCGGTTTGGTCCCGGTTCGGTCCCGGTTCGGTCCCGGTTCTGTCACAGCTCAGTGGCCCCGGTTCGGTCCCGGTTCGGTCCCGGTTCTGTCCCAGCTCAGTGGCCCCGGTTCTGTCCCGGTTCGGTCCCGGTTCGGTGCCGGTTCTGTCCCGGTTCAGTGGCACCACCGCTCCGTACCTGCAGTACCGCCCGTGACCGCTACGCGGCGCGCGAGCCCCAGGACGCCGCACGGGAGGCGTGGCCTCCCTGTGACGGGCGTGGCCTCACTGTGGGGGCGTGGCTATTGTCGTTCCTCCACCTCGCGTGGCGGTTGTGGAAGTGACGTCACGCGCGGGTGCCACGGCGTCACCATCATGGCGCGCAGAGGGGCCTGCCGCGTCCCGGATCGGTGAGCGCGGGGCCGCGGGCTGTGAGGGGATAGACGGTGTGAGGGAATACACGGTGTGAGGGGCTGTGGGGCCGCAGGGTGTGAGGGTCCCCAGGCCTGGGGACGCTTGAGGATCTCTGGCCAGGGTGGGAGTTGAAGGTCCCTGAGCCAGGGGGGGATTTGGGGGTCCCGGGCCTGGGGAGGTTTCAGGGGGGATTTGGGAATTCTGGGCCTGGGGGAGGTTTGAGGGTCCCCAAACCAGGGCCGTGGTTCCCAGGCTGGGATAGGCTTGAGGGTCCTCAGGACTGGGAGGAATCTGGGGGTCCCTGGGCTGGCCAGGGTTTGAGGGGTCCCCAGGACTGGGGGGATTTGGGGGTCCCTGGGCTGGACAGGGTTTGAGGGGTCCCCAGGACTGGGGGGATTCTGGTGGCTCGGGGGTCCCTGGCCGTGGGGGATTTTTCACCAGGGGGACGCTGAGGGCTCTCAGTGCTGGTGAATTCGGGGTTCCCAGGCCGGGGGGTTCTGTAGCCGGGTCTGGGGGTGTCTGGGGGGGCCGGGCCGGGGGTCCCTGCCCCGTTTGACCCCCCCTGGGCTCAGGTGGACAGCCTACACCCCGCTGGGCCGCAGGATGCCGGGCACGCGCTTCGTGGCCTTCAAGGTGCCCCTGAAGAAGGTGAGGGAGGGGCGCCGGGGGCTGGGGGCAAGCCTGGCTTGGTGGGGCTTCCTTGAGGGAATTTCTGCTCCCAAAATCCTGAGCTGGGTGTGGGAGGGCTCTGCTGCAGGGGATGGGGACAGGAGGAGAGGATTCGGGGGGATTTCCTCCTGGGAAGGGCAGGGAGGGGATGGAGCTGCTCAGGGAGGTTTGGGACGGGGACAGGAGAAGAAAAATGAGGGGATGGAGCGACATCACGGGGAATTTCTTCCTGGAAGGGCAGGGAGGTTTGGGACAGGGTCAGGAGGAGAGGAATCAGGGAAATTTCTTCCTGGGAAGGGCAGGGAGGGGATGGAGCTGCTCAGGGAGAGGAGAAGAAAAATCAGGAGGAATTTGTTTTTGGGAAGGGCAGGGAGGTGATTGAGCTGCTCAGGGAGGTTTGGGAAAGGGAGAGGAGAAGAAAAATCAGCTCCAGGATGGACGTCAGGAGGGATTTCTTCCTGGGAAGGGCAGGGAGGTTTGGGACAGGGACAAGAGAAAAAAAATCAGGGGGATTTTCTCTTGGGAAGGGCAGGGAGGTGTTGGAACAGGGACAGAAGGGAGGAATCAGGGGAATTTCCACCTAGGAAGGGCAGGGAGGGGATGGAGCTGCCCAGGGAAGTTTGGGACAGGGACAGGAGAAGAAAAATCAGCTCCAGGATGGACATCAGGAGGAATTTGTTCTTGGGAAGGGCAGCTCCAGGAGGAATTTGCTCAGGGAGAGGAGAAGAAAAATCAGCTCCAGGAGGAATTTCCTCCTGGGAAGGGCAGGGAGGTGTAATGACAGGGACAGGAGGGAGGAATCAGGGGAATTTCCTCCTAGAAAAGGCAGAGAGGTGATGGAGCTGCCCAGGGAAGTTTGGGACAGGGACAGGAGAAGAAAAATCAGCTCCAGGAGGAATTTCCTCCTGGGAAGGGCAGGGAGGGGATGGAGCTGCTCAGGGAGAGGAGAAGAAAAATCAGCTCCAGGATGGACATCAGGAGGAATTTGTTCTTGGGAAGGGCAGGGAGGTGTTGGAACAGGGACAGGAGGGAGGAATCAGGGGAATTTCCTCCTAGAAAAGGCAGAGAGGTGATGGAGCTGCCCAGGGAGGTTTGGGACAGGGACAGGAGAAGAAAAATCAGCTCCAGGAGGAATTTCCTCCTGGGAAGGGCAGGGAGGGGATGGAGCTGCCCACACTGGAGGTGGCACTCGCTGCTCTGGGCTGGGGACAGGGTGGGCACGGGGCACAGCTGGCACTGGGTGGTGCTGAGGGGCTTTGCAGCCTCAGGGATTGTGTGATTTGTGTGATTTGTGTGTTTGGGCTGAATTCCCACAGCAGAGCTGCACTGAGTGCCCAGCTGTGTTTGTCACTGTGGGAATTGTCACTCACCCTGGCAGCTCCCAGCTGAGCAGCCCCAAAGCTCTGAGCAAATCCATGAACTGGCTGATTTCAGTGTCATTTTCACCCAAACCAGCCCAGAATTCAGTGACCCCAAAATGTGATTTTCTTTTTTTTTTTTGCCTGGGTTGTTGTCTCTGCTCTCCAGAGCAGGAGCCTCTCCCCACCCCCAGGTTTTAACAACTGCTCCAAACCATCATTTCCTGCAGTGCTTTGAGCAGAACCTTCTGCCACGGCAGAGATTTTCCCCTCACGACCTCATCAGGAAGGTGCGGGAGAGGAAGGAGGAGTTGGGGCTGATCATCGACCTCACCTACACCACGCGCTACTACGGCCCCGAGGTCGGTGCCAGAACTGGGCAATTCTCCTCAAAAACAGCTCCCTGGAGAGGGGCAGGGCTGGAACCCTCTGCCAGGGCTGAGGGGAAACCTTGCAGGCCAGGAGGATGTTTCTGATCAATTCTCCACCCTCCAGATCTTCTGAGCCAGCCCAGATTTGGGGGTGGTGTTCGGGTGGGATTTGTGGGGTCTCCTGAGGGAAGAGCTCAGAGCTCAAAAGCGAGGAATTCTCCTCAAAAACAGCTCCCTGGAGAGGGACAGGGCTGGAATTCCTCTGCCAGGGCTGAGCTGAAACCTTGCAGGCCAGTTGGGTTTTTCTGATCAATTCTCCAACCTCCAGATCTTCTTGGATCCAGCCCAGATTTGGGGTGATGTTCGGGTGGGGTTTGTGGGTTCTGCTGAGGGAAGAGCTCAAAACTGGGCAATTCTCCTCAAAAACAACACCCTGGAGAGGGGCAGACCTGGAATCCTCTGCCAGGGCTGAGGGGAAACCTTGCAGGCCAGGGATCAACTCTTCAAGTGATGTTCAGGTGGGATTTGTGGGGTCTCCTGAGGGAAGAGCTCAGAGCTCAAACCTGGGGAATTCTCCTCAAAAACAACACCCTGGAGAGGGGCAGACCTGGAATCCTCTGCCAGGGCTGAGGGGAAACCTTGCAGGCCAGGGATCAACTCTTCAACCCCCAAATCCTCTGAGCCAGCCCAAATTTGGGGATGTCATTGTGGTGGGGTTTGTGGGTTCTCCCAAGGGAAGAGCTCAAAAGTGGGGAATTCTCCTCAAAAACAACACCCTGGCTGTTCCCTGATTTTTTGTTAGAGTTAAAAATCAGACAGACTGGGTTTTTTGAGTAGAATAGCTGAATCTTTACAGTAGATTTTGTATTTTTTGTATTTTTATATGGTATCAGAAGGTGCTGTACTGGAATTTTATAGGTTAGTGAATCATTGTAAGGTGGTTGGTGATGGCTGGTGTCCATGTCTGTTAAATTGTTTTATTTTCAGAAAGAAATTAGGTATGTGTATAATTAGATATATAAATATTTATTAGATATATTTATAATTAGGCATATTTATTAGGTACATATGTATTTATTAGATATATTTATAATTAGGTATATTTATTAGGTAAATGTATAGGTATATTTATTAGGTATGTATATATTTATTAGGTATATTTATAATTAGGTATATTTATTTAATTTAGGTATACTTATATTTTTTCTTTATGGACTGGTTTGAATTTAATAGGTTAATAAATAATTGAATTTTAATTGATTGGTTGGTGATGGCTCGTGTCAAATTATTTTCTTTTTGGGTATGTTTATAATTTTTTATTTAAAATATATTAAAATATATATTTATATAATTTTTAATATATATTTTGCCTTTATGGACTCTTCACAGGCCAGATTTTTTATTTTTGCAGGTGTAGCCTGTTTTCTCACAAAACCAGGTTGTTAAAACCCAGATTGATATGTAAACTGATTCTTATAAACAGAACTTTTCTTACCTAAAACTGCAGCTGCTCTTTAGGGTTTGGTGAGAAAACTCACTTTTTGTGGTTTATTACCTGTGATTCTTTAATTAATAAGAATTTCTTTGTGAGGAAAACTGTTTTTTTCTGCTTTATTCCTTTGTGATTGTGTAATTAATAAGAGTTTTTGTGTGAGGAAAACTCACCTTTTTCTGGTTTACTGCCTGTGATTCTTTAATTAATAAGAATTTTTGTGTGAGGAAAACTGCTTTTTTTTCTGTTTTTTTACCTGTTACTGTATAATTAATCAGGATTTCTGTGCTTTTTCTGGAAATTCCTGCCTTTTTTCCCCCAGGAGCTGCCCCCCACGCTGTGCTACTCAAAGATCCTGACCATGGGCCACGAGATCCCCAGCACAAAAACCTTCCTGAAGTTCAGCTGCCTGGTGAGAGACTTCCTGATGGCCAACAAAGACAACGGTGAGCCTGGGGTCCCTTCCTGGCCCAGCAGGGATTCCTTTCCCTCCTCTTGGCCTGGGAATATCCAGGCAATAAATTGGATTTTCCTGGGCAGGGATGGAGGCAGAGCTCCCCTGGATTTTGGGGGTTTTTGAACTCACCTGGGTGGGCTCTGAGGTCCCTCCCAGCCCAGAGCACTGCAGGGTTCTGTGTGACTCGAGCCTTGATTGGGTTTGAGCTCTGGCACGGAGCAGATGAGCCACAATTAACGAGCTGAGCGCTAATTAGGGCTGTGGTTATTGCACCGTGCTGGGGGGTGGGGCAGAGGGGCTCCTTCTGGGGACATTTGGGACATTTGGGAGGGGAAGCAGCTCAGGGTGCCCTGTGTGTGTTGCAGATAAACTCATCGGGGTGCACTGCACACATGGCCTGAACAGGACTGGCTACCTGGTCTGCAGGTGAGTGCTGCTGGCCCACGGGCTCCCTGGGGGCACTCAGGTGAGTCCTTGGCCAGAGGGGATCAGTGGTGGCACTTCTAGGTCAGTTCTTGGCCAGAGGGCTCCCTGGTGGCAATTCCAGGTCAGTCCTTGCCCACAGGCTCCCTGGTGGCACTTCAGGTGAGTTCTTGCCCAGAGGGCTCAGTGGTGGCACTTTTAGATCACTTCTCCTTGCCCAGATGGGTTCAGTAGTGGCACTTCCAGGTCAGTTCTCCTGGTGGCACTTCCAGGTCACTTCCTGTGACAGTTCCAGGTGAGTTCTCCTTGCCCAGAGGGCTCAGTGGTGGCACTTAGAGGTGAGATATCCTGGTGGCAATTCCAGGTCACTTCTCCTTGTGGCAATTCCAGGTGAGCTCTCCTGGTGGCACTTCCAGGTGAGTTCTACTTGCCCAGAGGGATCAGTGGTGGCACTGCTAGGTCAGTTCTTGGCCAGAGGGCTCCCTGGTGGCAATTCCAGGTCAGTCCTTGCCCACAGGCTCCCTGGTGGCAATTCCAGGTCAGTTCTTGGCCAGAGGGCTCAGTGGTGGCACTTTTAGATCACTTCTCCTTGCCCAGATGGGTTCAGTAGTGGCACTTCCAGGTCAGTTCTCCTGGTGGCACTTCCAGGTCACTTCCTGTGACAGTTCCAGGTGAGTTCTGCTTGCCCAGAGGGCTCAGTGGTGGCACTTAGAGGTGAGATATCCTGGTGGCAATTCCAGGTCAGTTCTCCTTGCCCAGAGGGGCTCAGTGGTGACAATTCCAGGTCACTTCTCCTGGTGGCAATTCCAGGTCACTCCCTGTGACAATTCCAGGTGAGTTCTCCGTGCCCAGATGGGTTCAGTGGTGGCACTTCCAGGTGAGATATCCTGGTGGCAATTCCAGGTCACTTTTCCGTGCCCAGGTGGGCTCAGTGGTGACAATTCCAGCTCAGTTCTCCTGGTGGCACTTCCAGGTCACTCCCTGTGGCAGTTCCAGGTGAGTTCTTGCCCAGAGGGGCTCAGTGGTGGCAATTCCAGGTCAGTTCTCCTGGTGGCACTTCCAGGTCACTCCCTGTGACAGTTCCAGGTGAGTTCTTGCCCAGAGAGCTCAGTGGTGACAATTCCAGCTCAGTTCTCCTGGTGGCACTTCCAGGTCACTCCCTGTGACAGGTCCAGGTGAGTTCTTGCCCAGGTGGGCTCAGTGGTGGCACTGCAGGAGGAAAGCAGAGTGGAGTGATTCCTGTGACCCCAAACTTCCAAGGATTCACAGCTTTCCTTAGGGGGCATTTTTCATCCCAAAATCCATCAGTAAATGCTGCTTTTCCATAAATAAAAGCTTTAAAACTCCCCAGTCTTTTCCTTCTGTTTGCATCATCACCAACCCATCAGTGTTTTCATAATTAATTGTTTAATTAGAGATGTTCTGCTGCTCTTTCAGGTACCTGATTGATGTTGAAGGCATGGAGCCAAATGCTGCCATAGAGTGTGAGCATCCTGTGGGGTGGGCAGTGTTCAGGGAGGGAAGGGCAGATTTTGGGAGGAAACTTTTTAAAAAAGTGTTTTAAAAAAGCTTGAAGAGGCTTTTCTTTTTATTTGGGAAAAGGTTATTTTTTTGGAGAAAAGTGGGAAAAATAGTTTATTTAACAATGTGTTTCTAAGTGTGAAAGATTAATAATTTTAAACAATAAAACTTTCTGTTGTTTTCAAGAGAAATTCAATTAAATTTAGAAACTTTTTCGTGGATTGTAGTTAGGTTTGCTTAGTTTTTTATTAGTATTTTGGTGTTGGAATGCAGTGGTTCAGGCTCTGGTGGGTTGTAGGTGCTTTTTTTGGGTTTTTAGTTCAGAGTAGGTTTGAAGAACAAGAAAAATTATAGTTCAGGAAACTTTTTTTTTTTTTTTGGTTTAGTTAGCTAAAAGCTAAGTGAAAAGTGGAGTTTTTGGGTGGTTTCAGTTGCTCTGGGGTAACCCTGTCTGTCCCCAGTGTTCAACACGTCCCGAGGGCACCGCATAGAGAGAGCCAACTACATCAAGGACCTGCAGAGGAGAGCCCAGAGGTGAGCCTGCCTGCTCCAGCAGCAGCTCCTGAGCCTCGGGGGGCTCCAGCTGGGCCTGGGGGGACGCCCAGCCCAGGGGGCATGGTTAAAGCTCACAGAGGGCAGGGTTAGCTGGGCTCTGGGGGAGAAATCCCCCCCTGTGAGGGGGGCGAGGGGCTGGGGTGGAATTCCCAGGATATTGCAGGAATTGCCAGGAAATCTGGGGCTGCTCCATCCCTGGGAGTGTGCAGGGAGCAGCCTGGGCTAGGGGAAGGTGTCCTTGGGTGGGATTTAAGGTCCTTTCCAACCCAAACCATTCTGGGGTTGGAGGTGGATGGAAAACCCCCCAGGTCTCCTTCCAGGGTGTGGGAGGAGCCGATGGGATCGCTCAGCGGGTGAAAAACTCCCTTGTTCCAGTGAAAACATCTGGAATTCTCTTTCAAATTCCCTCCAAAAGCAGCTGTGAGCTGAAGAATCCGGGCTCAGATCTCAGGAAGCAGGGCAGTGGCCCAGGCAAGCCCCAGGAGCACCCCCAGCCCCCCCTGGCAGTGCCCAGGTAGGTGTTTGCCCCCTCCCCTGGCCCAAGGAGCTGCTCCCTCCCTCTGGGAACAATCCCAGCTGGGTTTTTCCAGGCTGCAGCTCCCCCAGGGCTTTGCCTCTCTGAAAGTTCAGGGCCAAAATGCCAACAGTGAGGCTCTTGTGCCTGGGGCACCCCCAGGACTGTTCCCAGCTGGGAATTCCCAGGAATGGAGTGCCAGGAGCCTCCCCCAGCTGGGAGCTGAGCTCTGGCACCTCCTGCCTGGGGGGGAGCTCCCAGAGCATCTCCAGGACAAGTTTGGGAGCCACTGCCAGCTTTGGGCACAGCTGTGGCTCCTTCCCCTCCTCCCCAGTTCCTGATGGAAATTGAGAATCAGGAAATTCCTGATGGAAATTGAAAAAAAAAAAAAAAAATCCATGATGGAAATTGAAAAAAAAAATCCATGATGGAAATTGAAAAAAAAATCCATGATGGAAATTGAAAAAAATCCATGATGGAAATTGAAAAAAAAATCCATGATGGAAATTGAAAAAAAAATCCATGATGGAAATTGAAAAAAATCCATGATGGAAATTGAAAAAAAAAATCCATGATGGAAATTGAAAAAAAAATCCATGATGGAAATTGAAAAAAATCCTTGATGGAAATTGAAAATCCCTGATGGAAATGGAAAAAATTCCTGATGGAAATTGAAAGTTCCCAATGAATTTGAAATTGAAATTCCTCCTGAAATTTCCTCCAGAAATCAGGAGTGAGCCTCTCTGGGAGTTCAGGCTGCAGGAAAGGCTCTGGGCGCTCCCCCAGCCCTTTTTGGGGTGCTGATCCCCAATTTCCCTGCAGGAAAGGCTCTGGGTGCTCCCCCAGCCCTTTTTGGAGTGCTGATCCCCATTTTCCCTGCAGGAGCAGCAGCAGTGCCAGGCAGAGGCAGGGACAGCAGAAAAAGCTGGAGCATCAGGAACAGAATCATGTGGAGACAGAGCATCTGGAACAGAGGAAACACAAAAAGCTGGAGCATCAGGAACAGAATCATGTGGAGATGGAGCATCTGGAACAGAGGAAACACAAAAAGCTGGAGCATCAGGAGCAGAGGAAGAAGAAAAAGCAGAATCCTCTGGAGACAGAACATCTGGAGGAAAGGAAGCAGAAGAAGCAGAGGCAGCAGGATCATGTGGAGATGGAGCAGCTGGAGCAGAGGCAGCAGAAAAAGCTGGAACATCAGGAGAAGAATCATCTAGAGATGGAGCAGCAGCAGCAAAGGAAGCAGAAGAAGCTGAAATATCTGGAGCAGAATCATCTGGAGCAGAGGAAGCAGAAAAAGCAGAATCATCAGGAACAGAATCAGCTGGAGCAGAGGAAGCAGGAAAAGTTTGAGCAGAGGAAGCAGAAAAAACTGGAGCATCTGGAGCAGGAACATCTGGAAATGGAGCAGCAGGAGCAGAGGAAGCAGAAAAAGCTGAAACGTCTGGAACAGAATAATCTGGAGACAGAGCATCTGGAGCAGAAGAAGCAGAAAAAGCTGGAACATCTGGAGCAGAATAATCTGGAGCAAAATCACCTGGAGCAGAGGAAGCAGAAAAAACTGGAGCAGCAGGAGCAGAGGAAGCAGAATCATCAGGAGCAGAATCACCTGGAAATAGAGCAGCAGGAGCAGAGGAAGCAGAAAAAACTGGGACATCTGGAGCAGAAGAAGCAGAAAAAGCAGAATCATCTGGAGGAGAGGAAGCAGGAAAAGCTGGAACATCAGGAACAGAATCATCTGGAAATAGAGCAGCAGGAGCAGAGGAAGCAGAAAAAACTGGAGCTTCAGGAGCAGAATCATCCGGAGGAGAGGAAGCAGAAGAAACAGAAACATCTGGAGCAGGAAAAGCAGAATTATCTGGAGATGGAACATCAGGAGCAGAGGAAGCAGAAAAAGCTGAAACATCTGGAGCTGGAGCATCTGGAGACAGAGCATCAGGAGCAGAGGAAGCAGAAGAAACAGAAACATCTGGAGCAGGAAAAGCAGAATCATCTGGAGCAGAATAATCTGGAAATGGAACATCAGGAACAGAAAAAACAGAAGAAACAGAAACATCTGGAGCAGGAAAAGCAGAATCATCTGGAGCAGAATCATCTGGAAATAGAGCAGCGGGAGAAGAGGAAACAGAAGAAACAGAAACATCTGGAGCAGGATCAGCAGAATCATCTGGAGATGGAACATCAGGAACAGAAAAAACAGAAGAAACAGAAACATCTGGAGCAGGAAAAGCAGAATCATCTGGAGCAGAATCATGTGGAAATAGAGCATCAGGAGCAGAGGAAGCAGAAAAAGCTGAAACATCAGGAACAGAAAAAACAGAAGAAACAGAAACATCTGGAGCAGGAAAAGCAGAATCATCTGGAGCAGAATAATCTGGAAATGGAACATCAGGAACAGAAAAAACAGAAGAAACAGAAACATGTGGAGCAGGAAAAGCAGAATCATCTGGAGCAGAATCATGTGGAAATAGAGCAGCAGGAGCAGAGGAAGCAGAAAAAGCTGAAACATCAGGAACAGAATCCTGTGGAGCAGAGGCAGCAGAAGAAGCAGAAACATCTGGAGCTGGAACATCAGGAGCAGAGGCAGCAGAAGAAGCAGAAACATCTGGAGCTGGAACATCAGGAGCAGAGGCAGCAGAAGAAGCAGAAACATCTGGAGCTGGAACATCAGGAGCAGAAGCACCTGGAGCAGAGCTGCCAGGAGCAGGGGGCCCTGGAGCTGCCCCCCAGGAACTGCTGCCTCTCCCCACCCCCCAAGAAGAAGAAGAAGCAGCAGCAGGAGCTGTTCCCCCCCAGGAAACCCCAGCAGGACACGTCCTGACCAGGAGAACCCTGCAGGGAGCAGCAGGAGCTGCCCAGCAGCTGGACAGGGCTTCAATCTGATTTTTAATCTGATTTTTCATCTGGTTTTTCATCTGGTTTTTCTCACTGCCCACAGCTCTGGTGCTTTTCCACCAGGAGAACCCTGCAGGGAGCAGCAGGAGCTGCCAGGCAGCAGGTTTTTAAGAAATCAGGGCTGGTTTGAATCTGGTTTTTCTCCCAGCTCTGGTGCTTTTACAGGAATTTTTAATTCTGGTGCTTTTACAGGGATTTTTAACTCCGGGGATGCTGAATAACCCCACAGGAACACCCTCAGCTGGCCCTGGGCCTGCAACAAAACCGGCTTTTGTTGATCTCCTCAGGGCACAGCGAGGAAAGGACTGGCCTTGCAAACTGCGATTTTTATCCTTTTTTACCCGTTTTTGCTATTGGGTAAAATCAGAGACGTTTTTTACCCGAGTAAAAAATTTCTACTTTTGCTAAAGTAAATTTCCACGCTGTGCAAACTCCAGCCTGGCTGCGGAGCAGTGATTCCCGCGAGGGGCCCGCGCTGCGGGGGGGTCGGGCCCGGTTTTGGGGTGAGAACGGCCGGGTTTGGGCTGGGCGGAGCGCGGCCTTTCCGCGTCGCGGCCCCTTTAAGACGCACCGCTATGACGTCACCACGTCCGCTAAGGGAGCGGAAGCCGCTTCGCAACCGGGCGGAAGTCAGGGATGCGTGCTACATACCCGGATGTTGAGGCGGCTTCTGATTGGCTGCCGAGAGCGAGGCCGCGGCAGGTGGGGAAGAACCCGGAAGTGCTGAGGGGAAACGGCGGCGGCCCGCGCCAGGTCAGGGCCGGGCCGGGCTGGGGAGGGCCCTGCGGGATGGGGGATCCCTCTGAGCACCGGGGGCGGCTTGAGGCGCCAGGGCTGCGGTGCTGGGGCGTCCCGAGCTGCCCCGAGAGTCCGCGGCAGGAGCGCTCCGGTTGGGGGGTCCGCTATGGCGGCGCGGGCAGCGGGGTCTGGAATCTTCCCCCCTTGAACGGGGGGCACCGCCCGGAGTGTTCCGGCCGTGGGATATTCACTGTAGGAAGCAGGATCCCATTCCGGGGGGGCGCTGGCTGTGGGGGCCTTCGTTTTAAGTTCCTGTCCTGAATCCTAAATTAATTTGTAGCGTAAATTAATTGGTAAGCGCCATGTCTGATCGGAAGGGGATCTGCGCAGGGCTGGGGGTGTTTCCGCTCGGGGCAGGGGCCGGTTTGGGGCTCCCTTTGCCCCGTTGGGAGGGGAGGATCCTGGAGCCCTGTGATTCCCTAATTCCATGATTCCCTGATGTCTGTCATTCCCTGATTTCCGCCGTTCCGTGATCCAGTGATTTCCCTGATTCCCAAATTCAGTGTTTTCTGTGATCCAGTGATTCTGTGATTCCCCAGCTCCCTGATTCCCACATTCAGTGATTTCTGTGTTTCAGTGGTTTCCCTGATTCCCTGATATTTATGATTCATGATTCCCAGATTCCCTGATTTCCCCAGTTCCCTGACTTCTGCATTTCAGTGATTTCTGTGATCCATGATTCCCCCAGTTCCCTGACTCCCTGGTTGCCTGATTTATTTCTGTGATCCAGTGATTCCTGTGATTCCCTGATTCCCTCATTTCTGTGATTCCCTCATTTCGTGATTCTCTGATTTCTGTTATTCATGATTCCCTCATTTCCGTGGTTCCCTGATCTCTGTGATTCCCTGATCTCTGTGATTCCCTGATCTGTTATCCCCTGATCTCTGTGATTCCCTGATCTCTGTGATTCTCTCATTTCTGTTATTCCCTGATCTCTGATATCCCCTGATCTGTTATCCCCTGACCTCTGTGATTCCCTGATTTCCATGATCTCTGTGATTCCCTGATCTGTTATCCCCTGATCTCTGTGATTCCCTGACCTCTGTGATTCCCTGACCTCTGTGATTCCCTGACCTCTGTGATTCCCTGATCTCTGATATCCCCTGATCTCTGATATCCCCTGATCTGTTATCCCTGGGTCTCTGTGATTCCCTGATTTCCCTGATTCCAGATTCCCCCATTTCCCCGACTCCCCGTTTCCCCATCCCCAGTTCCCTCCCTTCTCACTCCGCTCTCTCCGCAGCGCGGCCCTGTCCCGGTGCCATGCCCGGGGCGGCGGGCAGCGCCAGCCTGGCCCCCGAGGAGCGCGTGCGGCGGCTGATCCGGGCGGGCAGCAGCGTGCAGGTCAGCGAGGACGTGCCCCCGCGCCGCTACTTCCGCTCGGGCGTCGAGATGCTGCGCATGGCCACGGTCTACTGCCAGGAGGGCAACCTGGAGCACGCCTTCATCCTCTACCACAAGTACATCACGTAAGGGACACTGCCAGGGGGTGCAGGGTATGGGTTTGGGGGGTTTGGGGTGCCAGGAGGGCAACCTGGAGCACGCCTTCATCCTCTACCACAAGTACATCACGTAAGGGACACTCCCAGGGGGTGCTGGGCACGGGTTTGGGGTGGCTGCGAGGGCATGGGGAGGTGGGAGAGCTCCACAGGTCTGGGTTCAGGCCAGGGATCTGCTGCTCAGGGGTTTGGGGTGCTCTGCTCCCTGAGGGGTTTGGGGTGCCAGGAGGGCAACCTGGAGCGCGCCTTCATCCTCTATCACAAGTACATCACGTAAGGAGGGCAGACAGGGGGTGCAGAGTATGGGTTTGGGGTGCCAGGAGGACAACCTGGAGCACGCCTTCATCCTCTACCACAAGTACATCACGTAAGGGACACTGCCAGGGCAGGCTGGGCACGGGTTTGAGGGGTTTGGGGAGGGGGAGAGCCCCACAGGTCTGGGTTCAGGCCAGGGATCTGCTCCCTGAGGGCTTTGGGGTGCTCTGCTGCTCCTCAGGGCTTTGGGGTGCTCTGCTGCTGAAAGGTTTGGGGTGCTCTGCCCTGAGGGGTTTGGGGTGCTCTGCTGCTCCTCAGGGCTTTGGGGTGCTCTGCTGCTGAAAGGTTTGGGGTGCTCTGCCCTGAGGGGTTTGGGGTGCTCTGCTGCTGAGGTGTAAAAATAAATAAAATTAAAAGTTGTAAAGGAAATAAATCCTCAAATGGTCCCTGGTCCCAAAGGAGAACTCCCTGCTGTGGAGGAACTCCGTGCCCCCTCAAACAGAGCTGTGGGGGTTGAAAAGGATAAAATCTCTGATCCCAGTGGGGCAGTGTCCTGTTCCTGTAGGTTTTCCCCTCAGTCTGCCCCTCCTGCCTTGCTCAGTGCCCCTGTGGGTCTGTGCTGTGCCCGCTCTCCCCAGACAGCCTTGGCATCTCCGTGGGCATTTTCCCTGCCTGCCCCCCTGTGCAGGGCTGCTGCCCCTCACACCCAACACATTTTTCTCTGATTAGCTTTGCTCCCTGCCTCGCCCTTCCTGAGCTTTTATGGGCATGGTGGCGAGGCCAGGAGGCTGCTGGGGAGTGTAAAACCTTTGGGAAAGGTTCCCAACAAAGCTTTGGGAAGAGTTCCAGGCCCCTCTCGCAGCTGGGGCTGGAGGAGAAACGTTTTAACTAAACAAATGAGCTGGTGCTTGGGTCATTGCAGCAGCCAGAGGTGCTGGCTTGTGTCCCCAGCTGCTTTCAAATGATTCTGCTGGCATTTCCAGCCTGCCTGGAAACCTTTTCCACCAGGGAAATCATTTCCACCAGGGAAAACCTGGGATTTCTGCAGTGCTGTCCTTTTCCTGGGAAGGGGGGAGCTGGGGGTGTTCAGCCTGGGGAAGAAAAGGCTCTGGGGAGACCTGGGGGTCCCTTCTGCTGCCCAGAGAGGGTTCTGAAAAGGAAGGAGAGAGGTTTTTACAGAGGCAGGGAGTGTCAGGCCAAGGGGGGATGGTTTTAAACCAACAGAGGGCAGGGATGGATGGGATTTTGGGAAGGAATTCCTCCCTGTGAGGGTGGGAGGGAATTCCCAGAGCAGCTGGGGCTGCCCCTGGATCCCTGGCAGTGCCCAAGGTCAGCTTGGACCACCCTGGGACAGTGTGGATGGGCTTTGAGGTCCCTTCCCATCCCATCCCAGCCATTCCAGGATTCTGGAACTATCTCCAGGATTTTTAACCTGTGTCTTGTCACCTTGCAAGTCCTTCCTTGCCTGTGGTCCTGAGCAGCTTCTCCTGCCTTGACCCAGAAGGGTGTTTGAATCACCAGCAGGAGCACTGGGCTAGTTTGGTAAAACCCAATGAGAAGGAAAAAAGGAATAAGGCACAACTTTGAGCCAAATAAGAAAGAAAAAAAAGGAATAAGGCACAACTTTGAGCCAAATAAGAAAGAAAAAAAGGAATAAGGCACAACTTTGAGCCAAATAAGAAGGACAAAAGGAACAAGACACAACTTTTCTGTAATGCTCCTCAGTTTGCTTGGATCAGCTCCAGGGACTCGTGGGGGTGTCACAGGGGCCTCGAGAGCCACCGGCTTGGCCTGGGCACCAGAGCTGGGCTTAAAAATAGTCCTGGCTCTGGCTGCTGCACAGCTGCTGCTCTGCTGGGCTCGAGGGGTTTGCAGCAGCCCGGAGCTGCTGGCTGTGGGAGGTTTTGGTGTTGCCAGGCCCCAGCAGGGCTGTCACAGGAGCCAGGAGCTGTTCCAGCCCTTCCTCTGCCCCGGGGTTTTCCTCTGCCTGCCTGAGCCCTCCTCTCCTCCTCCTGCCCACGTCTTTCCCTGATTCCTGACTTGTGGAAACCCAGCTGTCTCTGCTGGTTTTTCCATCCAGCCCAGGCCAGCATCTGCTCTTAATCCTGCCTAATTAATCCCTTCCATTTGGATCCTGAGCTGCTGGCAGGGCTCGGGGCCTTGTTGTGTCTCCTCAGCTCCGTGACCTACTTCACACCCCCAGCTGGGAGTGGGACCTGGCTGGGGCTGGGCTTTTGGGGGGCAGCCACAGCCTCTGCAGGGCTCCAGCTGTGCCCTGGCTCTGCTGATCCTGCATCCTCACCTGGAGCATCCAGGGGGGCACAAAGTGCTTGAGGGCTTGGAGCAGCTGGGTTTGTTTGCTGCACACACAGTGTTGGCAGAGTTTCTGTGACCCCTGAGTTTTTCCTGCTTGGCTTTGCTTGGTTTGTTCTGCTCTCTGTGGTACTGTCTATTCCCTTTTTTCCCTTTTTCCCCTTTTTTTTCCCCCTTTTTCCATTTTTTATCCCTTTTATTATTCCCTGGGACAGGGGAAGCTGAGTGGGAGGATGCTGAGCTCATCTTGATCTCCCTCCCCAGATCCAGCCCAGTATTCTCCCTCCTGCCTGGACTACCTGGGGAGCTCAGGCTGCACAGCCCAGAGGCTCCTGCAGCAGCAGCTGGGGCTGTTGGGAACTTGCTTTTTTCAGACTTGCTTTGCTTTTTTTGCTTTGAGCTTTTTTGCTCACCTGCAGGTTCTCCTTGGCTGAGGTCTGAGCTGATTTCCCCTCCTGCACACACTCGGTGCAGAAGGGAGCTCTGAGTCAGCTGGGCTGGAATCCTGGGATGCTCCCAGGTGTGGGCAGCTGCCTGAGCACCTCCCTGAGTCCCCACCCTGCCCTTGGTGCTCCAGAGCAGGTTATTCATGGTTCCCTTCCAAGCCAATGTGTTTGTCCCTGAGGGTCACCTCCAGAGGCCAGGTGCAGGGAGAGCCTGAGAGGTGCTCTCCCTTGGGACTGAGATCTCCTGAGTGCCATGCAGGGCTCCAGGGGCTGCTGTGGCATGGAGCCTTCCTGCAGCCAGACAGAGGGAGCACAGGGGTCCCCCAGAGCAGCAGGGAGTGTCCTGAAGTGCAGCTTGTGTCCCTTTTTGCAGGCTCTTCATCGAGAAGCTGCCGCAGCACCGCGATTACAAGAGCGCCGTCATCCCTGAGAAGAGGGAGACGGTCAAAGTAAGTGGGGACGTGGTCAGGGTCATCAGCCTGGGGCTTCCCTGCCTCTGGGATGAGTGATCCACACAAATGCTGAGAACCTTGGCTTGGCCAGGCAGTGCTGAGCCCTCAGGAGTTCAGTTCTGGGCCCCTCACTCCAGGAAATCCATGGAGGGGCTGGAGCCAGAGATGGGAATGGAGCTGGGAAAGGGCTCAGAGGGAGAAAAGGGGGATCAGGGGGGCCCTTCTGGCTCTGCACAACTCCCTGACAGGAGAGGGGATCAGGCTCTGCTCCCAGGGAACAGGGACAGGATAAGGGGAAACGGCCTCACCTCACACCAGGGGAGGCTTAAGTTGGATATTGGGAAAATGTCTTCCCCAAAAGCATTGTCCAGTCGTGGCACTGGCTTCCACCATCCCTGGAAGTGTTCCAAAATACCTGGGGACACACATTAGTGGTGGACAGCTGGGGCAGTGGTTGAACTCAATGATCTTGGTGGTGTTTTCCAACCTAAACAGCTCCAGGATTCTCTGGATTACACTTGGGGAGTTCTCACCCCATTGCACTTGCACTGGACTGGCTGTGGTGTCCAGTTCACCTCCTGGGGTGTCCTTTCTTCCCTGTTCAACTCCTGCTTTTCAAAGACCATGAGTGGTGGCTGGTGGCTTTCTTTTCTCCAAGGGAATCCTTGGAGATTCCTCCCAGCCCCAGAAGCTGCAGCTCCTCTGCTCAGCGCTGACCAGAAGAGGAGAGGACAGCACTGCCCCAGCTCTTGCTCAGTGATTCTGGTGGTGGTTTTTGGACTCTTCAGCTGCTCAGGTTTTGTTTTCCTTGCCTTGGGGCTGCCTCAGGCTGATGCTGAGTTTCCTCCCCCAGAAACTGAAGGAGGTAGCCTTTCCCCGAGCCGAAGAGCTCAAGGAGGAGCTGCTAAAGAGGTACGCCCAGGACTATGCTAAGTACAAGGAGCAGGAGGTGAGTGACAGCAGACTGCAGGCTGTGCTCCCCTGGAGCCCCTCAGCCTCACAGGGGCTCCCTGGGTGCTGGGGAATGTCCAGTCTGGGTGGCCCCAATGTCACTGCAGGTGGCCCTGGCTCTGCTCCCCCTGCATCCCCAGCCAGCCTGAGCTGGGGCTGTGTGCTTGGTTTCTTCTCTCTGCCCCACGAAAGGAAAGCACCACACGATGGAAAATTAGAAGCAGAAATTAAATTTAAAAAGGGGAAGGGTGTAGGGGTTGGAATTCCACCACAAGCCCAGGATCTGTGGGCAAAGCAGTCACCTCTGCAGTCAGTTTGGCTCTGGACTTCAGAGGACAGAGGGAAATCAACGTGGGATTGTAATTCCATGGAAGAGGGAGGGTAAAGCTGTGCTTTTCCTGCCCTTGGTGCAGCTGGCTCTGGATCTGTGCCCTGCAAGCTGAAAGTGCTGTTTGCTGGTGACCTTTAGGAATAACCTGGGAATGGCTGGGGGTCTGCCTTGGGCTGGTGTCCCCCTCTCTGCTGCTGTCCCTGGGCGTGCTCCTCCCTGCAGCAGGAGGAGGAAGAAGAGTAATTTGTGCATCCTCTGGCTTTGCAGCAGCAGCTGGAGGAGGAGAAGACTCGGGTGGCCCTGATGAAGCAGCAGCAGGCAGAGCAGGAGCAGTTCCACGCCTTCGAGGAGATGATCCGGCAGCAGGAGCTGGAGAAGGAGCGCCTCAGGATAGTGCAGGAGTTTGGGAAGCCAGAGCCAGAGTCTATGGATGGACCCCTCATCCCTGGCGTGGAAAAGCCCCCAACAGATTTAACCCCAAAGGTTCCAGTCTCTCCAGTTCACCCAGCAAGCCCATCAGCGGGGACTGTGCCCTCCAAACCTCCTGTTGTGGACAGATCTTTGAAGCCCAGTGCTTTGGGGAGCACAGAGAACAGTTAGTACCTCTTGGAGCAGCTCTTCTCCCTGCTGGGGCTGAGCCAAACACAGCCAGCTTCTCTGGGAAGCTCTTGGAATTTCCTGATCGTGGGGGTTTGCTCTCCTGGGTCACTGGGTGTTGTCCTCCCTGCTCTTCCAGCCCAGCCTCTCTGCTCTTCCAGGGTCTGCAGCCTGTTTGCTTTTCCTTGTTCCAAATACTTGCTGGAGATTGGGGTTTAGCTCCTGGCTGGGCTGACTGAATCCTCCTCCTGACCAAATCCCACTAAATGTGGTTCCAAAATACTGATTCAGACTCATCCAGTGGCTGAGGCTTGCCCAGTGACACGTCCTGCTTTAAATAACATTTCCTGAGGGTGTGTGGTTTCATTTTTAGTAACAAAACACTCCTTTTGACCCCTTGCCAGAGGATCCTTCCCCTCTCCATCTCCCTTTCCCTCTTCTGAGAGAGGTGCCGCGAGTGTCACAGTGACACAATTCCCTGAGCCCACCACTGCAAGGTGACTTTATCCTCCCAGCTGGATTTTCTCCGTGTCATCCCTGAGGGACCTTTCCTGCAGCAGCCCTGCCTCTGCTCACTGTGCTCCCCACTCCCCACAGGTGCAGGCGTGGATGTCCTGCGGCAGGTCATTGTCCCCAGGGAGCTGTGCCACAAGTTCCTGCAGCTGGCTGATGCCAACACGGTGCGGGGCGTGGAGACCTGCGGGATCCTCTGCGGGAAGCTGGTAAGGAAACAGCCCCCCCTGGGGACCCCAAAAGTGGCACAGGGGCTGCTTGGCCCTTGGAAGTGGCTCTCAAGGAGTTTGGTTTTTGTCCTGGGTTCTTCAGTGCGGTGTCAGGCTTCCGTGTGAGTGTTAGGGATGATGTGCCTCTCTCCCTTTCCTCGTTTTTGGGTTAGGGTTTCCCCACCATGATCCCCACTCAGCTTCTTCTCTCCCACTGGTGGCATTCCTGCTGGCATTCCTTGTCCTTTGGGTGTCCCAGCTGGTGGCCTCAGGCTGACAGGACTCTGTTCCCCCCCAGACTTTGCGTGCCCAGGTTTTGTTGGCAGCTCCAGCCCATCTGCCCGGAGCCACTCCCAGAAGTTTGCTTTGAAATGAAGTTTGTTTGATGTAGCAGCTTCCTGCAGTCCAGCTGCTTCCAGACTCTGGGGATGCTTTAGGGATGAGGCATCCTTCCCTTTGGAGTGGAGAGCTGGATCTGGGGGTGTCCAGGGCTTCTCTGAGCTCCTGGAGGTGCTCTGCACAGCAGGGAGAATGAAACAGGAAAAAAATCCTGCAACTCCTTTGGAAAAAATCCTGGAACTCCTTGGAGCTGCACCTGCAGATGGGTGGTGGATGCATCCATGTGTAGGAATGTGCCCTTTGTTGATGGAGCAACCAAATTATCCTTTGTCTCCTTAAAAAGGCAAAAAGCCCAGAAGTTTTTCTCCTCAATTTGGTAAAAAGACACCTCATAAAAAAACCTTTGAGACTTCACTTTAAATTTGGGGCTGCCCAAGAGGCCAAGACGTCTGGCCTAGGTAATTCACTAGAAAAGGAAGAGAACAAAGGAAATAATCCCTTTTGTGGGGTGTTTTAGCAGGAACAAGAACCTCTTGCCCTTAGCTCAGCTTTTCTCTGTGAGAACTTGGTTTAATAAAGGCAAAATAACATTTTTCTGTTTCCAACACCACCTCAGAACCCATCCTGCTCATTTTACGCCATTCCAAGTGGCTGAGCTATCTCAGGTGTAATAAATTCTCTCAGAGCTCATAAGACCTAACTCAAAGAGAAAACCATCATCCACGGGCTTGTCCCAAGGCTCAGGAAGGTCCCTGGCCTGGGGCTCACAGCTCCCCGTGGTGGCCCTGCCTTGCAGATGAGGAACGAGTTCACCATCAGCCACGTCATCGTCCCCAAGCAGCTGGGGGGCCCCGACTCCTGCACCACGGAGAGCGAGGAGGAGCTCTTTGTCATCCAGGACCAGCATGGCCTCGTCACCCTGGGCTGGATCCACGTGAGTCTCCTTGCCCTGGCACTCCCTGGCCTCCAGCCCCGAGGGGAAGGGCTGCTGGAGCAGGGAAGGGGCAGCAGCCTCTGGTTCTCTCTCTGGTACAGCCTCGTTCACTAGGCTGGTGGGGAAATCCAGGCCTGGGTAATGTTTGGGTTCCTTTCTAAAGCATCAAGCCCTTTGAGAAGGAAAGAGGAAAGGTTTAGATGAGATACCAGGAAGAAACTCTTCTCTGGGAGGAAGGAGGAAAGGTTTAGATGAGATCCTGGGAAGAAACTCTTCCCTGGGAGAGTGGGGAGCCCTGACACAGGTTCCCAGAGCAACTGTGACTGCCCCTGGATCCCTGGCAGTGCCCAAGGCCAGGCTGGAGCCCCCTGGGACAGTGGAAGGTGTCACCCCACGACAGGGGTGGCACTGGATGGGCTTTAAGGTCCCTCCCAACCCAACCATTCAGGGATTCTCTGGAAGTGGCATCTCAGACATGAAGCTCACGTTTCCTCCGGCTAAAAGCCAGCTCTGGTGGCTCTGTGGGGACACCCCAAGCTGCTCTCCTAGAGGGACACTTGTCCCAGGCTGTGTCCCTGAGCAGCCCTGTGAGCTGTGCCAGCTGCAGGCTCCTCCCTGGCTGCCCGCTGTCCCCGGGGAGCCTTTGGCAGTGGGATCCCTGCCAAGCAAAGCTGAGTAATCTCTCGAAAGCAGCAGCTGCCTGAGGGCTTGGGCAAGGGATTGCTGCTGCTCCAGAGAGCCTGCTCCACGCAGGGTGGCTGCTCCAGGGCCACCTCTGCACTGACAGCCCTGCAGAGGCTCCCTCCTGCTGGTCCTGGCAGCAAAACCCCAGCGAGGGCAGTCAGCAGGAGCTGAGGTGTGAGACGTGGCTGTCAGCAGGGGCTGGGGGAGCTGTCAGGGGCTGTGCAGCCCTCCAGGGAGTGTGGTGTCCCCCACGGAAGGTGATATCCCCGTGGAACGTGGTGTCCTGCAGTGCTGTGGCACCATGGGCTGTGCTGAGCCCCGGGAGCTGCGCTCCTGCCCTTGAGGAAGGTGTGAAGTGGCCTGCAAGGACGTCGTTGTGGCTTCAAGGTGTGATTTTTTTCCATAGGATGTGGCAGGAATGTGGAGCTCCTTTTGTAGGTAACTCCCCATGGAAAAGAGGAACACACATTTTAGGACAATCCAAAAAAAAAAAAAAAAAAAGAATAAAAACCAAGAGAGCTGGAAGGGACTTAGGACAAGAGCAGGGAGTGTGATAGAACAAGGGGGAATGACTTGCCAGTGCCAGAGGCAGGGTTACATGGGAGGCAGTGAAAGATGTCTCTGCCATGGCAGGGGTGGCACTGGATGGGCTTTAAGTCCCTCCCAACCCAAAGCATTCCACAATTCCATGAATTACACCCCAGCAGGGAGCTGTGCCTGCTCTGCCACAAGGCTCCCTTGGCAGACAGGATCCCCTGGCAGGGTTTCCCAGCTCTGAGTGCTGTCCCTGTCCCTGTTGCAGACCCACCCCACCCAGACAGCCTTCCTGTCCAGCGTGGACCTGCACACCCACTGCTCCTACCAGATGATGCTGCCAGAGTCCATCGCCATCGTGTGCTCCCCCAAGTACCAGGAGTGAGTGAGGGGCTCCAGGAGGGAGTGAGGGGCTCCAGGAGGGAGTGAGGGGCTCCAGGAGTGACTCTGGATCCCAGGAGTGTGGGCTGGGGAGGTTGTTCCTCTGCCTGGGCTGTCAGGCACAGCCTTCCTCCCTCAGATCCTTGCTGGGATGGGATCCATGGGATGGGATGGGATCCATGGGATGGGATGGGATCCATGGGATGGGATGGGATGGGATGGGATCCACGGGATGGGATGGGATGGGATGGGATGGGATGGGATGGGATGGGATGGGATGGGATGGGATGGGCTGCAGAGGCTGCAGCTACAGAGCTGCTGTTCCTGCTCCAGGACAGGGTTCTTCAGGCTGACGGAGCATGGCCTGGAGGAGATCTCATCCTGCAGGCAGAAGGGGTTCCACCCCCACCCCAAAGACCCCCCTCTGTTCACAGTGAGTTCCCTGGGGGCTCTGGGGAGGGTGCCTGGGCTGGGGTTAAATCCACCCTGAGGGGCTGGGCTGGGCTGGGATGGGAGGCTCAGCCTGGCAGGAGGTGCAGGAGCTTCCTGAGATCCTGCAGGTGCTGCAAGTGTGCTGCAGAGCTGCTGGCTGCAGGAGCAGGGCGAGGCAGCAGCCCAGGGCTGTTTGGGGTGGGGGGATTTGTGTGGGGCCTGCCATGATCCCTGTGTGGCACCAGGCAGGGCCAGCAGTTGGGGTGATGCAAGAACTGGATCCAGGGGCTGTTCTGGGAAAGCACAGGTTGTGTCAGGGGGTGGAGGAAAATCAGCTGAGCTCTGGGAACATCTGAGTAACCCCTGTCCCCTCTTGTCCTCTCTTCCAGACCTGCAACCACGTGTCAGTGGTGGAGAGAGACGTGGTGCTGCTGGATCTGCGATAAGCCTCTTGCCTTGTCCCCTCTCAGGAGCCCCCCACCTTCCTCTAGGCCTAGGGAATCTGTTTTCCCCTCCTGTAGCAGACGATTTCTACCACGTAGTGATCCTCCCTTCCTCCCCCACGGTGCAGTCAGATCCCTGCCCTCAGTGGGAGCCCTGGAACCTCAGTGCCTGGCTCCAGGTGTGGGGAGAAGCCAGCTGGGAGCTCAGAGACAGAAGCCAACACTAAAGCAGTTGTTTAACTCTAACCCACGGCCTCCTGGGGAGGTTCTTTGTGACTTGCTGCAACCCTGAGGTGTGGGAACCTCTTCAAGTGCTTTTGGGACTTGCCCACTTTAACCCATGCCCTGTTCTGTCCCTCATTCCGGGCTGCTCGGTCTCAGCACAGCTTCCAGGAGCAGATAAACCTTTCCTGTGGTTTAAACCCAAACCTTGCTGACCCTTCTGAGCCCCACACCAGCTCAGTGCTGCTTGTTGGTACTTGTGTGTCTGCCTGGGGAGGGAGGAGGGCCCGAGCTCCTTTGGGATCCCTCTGCCAGCATTTCAGGGCTGGAAATCCACCCCAGCAGTGTTTAGGATGTCTGGGCACTCATCCCTTTTCCCGGCCTGGTGTTACCATGGAGGAGCTCGGTCTGGCTGCCACCACCACTCCAGGATGGGATTCCAGCAGCTCTGACCACCCCAACCCCACTCCAAGATGGAATTCCAGCAGCTCTGACCACCCCAATCCCACTCCAGGATGAGATTCCAGCAGCTTTGGCCACTTCCCTGCTCCCAGCTCCCCGTGCCTGGTGGCCTGTGCACACCCAGAGCAGCAGCAAGCCTGGCTCAGGAAGCCTGGCCTTGCCAAAGCCGAGCTCAGCCCTTGTGCAGGACCCTCCCGGAGGTGCTTTAGTCGGGGTGGGGGGGAAGCAGCAGCATTCCAAGGTGGCAGCCAGCTGTGCCAGCGGTGCCAGGCGTGCTGCACGTCCCCGGCAGGGTGGGGTGGGATGGGATGGGATGGGATGGGATGGGATGGGATGGGATGGGATGGGATGGGATGGGATGGGATGGGATGGTCGGCACATGGGGAAGGGGAGGGGAAGGGGCTGGAGCTGCCCTCCCACCCGGCGTGCAAACATCGCCGCGGCTCTGTGTCTGGCACACATGGACGGGATTATCCAGCTGCGTTTTCTCCTCCCGTGCCCCTCCTTTTCCCGGAGCTCTCGGTGGGGCGGGGTCGCCTCGGGGGGATCCGCTCCTTTGGGGCTGCCGCGTTTGCGTGACGAGCGCTGCTCCAGCTTTTCCCCAGTCGCTTTTGGGAACAGGCTGGCCCCGGGCCGGGAGGGATAAGGGGGGCCTTTAGGGCATCTCGGGGAACTCGTTTGCAGCCCTAATTAATTAGCCGTGCTCGGGAGGGGGTGCAGTTGCCGTGGTGTTCATCCCGCAGCTCCTCGCCCCGGGGCAGCGTGGGGACACCGAGTGGAAAATCACATCCTGCAAAGCAGCAACTCCTTCACATCCGTGGGGATTCATCCCAGCTCCTCATCCCTGCAGCTCTCAGGTGTCAGCTGGCCACCACTTTTGTGCTGTCCCAGTGGCTGGTAAACCTTCCCAGGGAATTTTCCAGGAGCAGGGAATTGCTCAGGTCAGGGTCTGCTGCCGCCTCGCTCCCAGCCCTGCTCCCTGAGCTCCCGCCTCTTTCATCCCATTTTTTCCCCCCAGGTCCCTGAATCCTCACTTTGTGTCTCACTGAATGTCGATATCCAGGCCCTGCTGCCCAGCCTGGCTCTCCAGCTGTGCCAGCTGTGACTGTCACACCTTAAAACCACCCAAACCTGGATTTGGGAGGAGCTGAGAAGATAAACCAGGCTCAGCAGTGATTTATTGGCTGTGTTCGGGGGGATCCCGGCGGCAGGGAGCGACGAGCGATGCTTATCTCCCCCTGAGCAGAGGGAACTCATCCAGATCTCTTTTTTTTCACGCCTTTCCCGTCCTCAGCAGCATCCCCGGAGCTCCCAGGGTGAACATTCCCCCCGAGGGCGGTGCCGGCACCGGGATTTGGGAAAGGCAGCGGCCGGGCCGGGCTCGTCCCCCGCCGGTGCCGGGGGATGCCTGGCGTTCCTGCGAGCATCCCGGGCCCGCTGGATTGGCTGCGGGGGCCAAACCTTGCCTTTTTAGGCTGCGCCTGGCTCCGGCTCGGGGCTGAGCTCGGGGATGCCCCGGCCGTGGGGCAGCCCCAGCCCCGGGGATGAGTGCTGGGGCTGCTCGGGGGTCTCGGGCTTTGGGAATGGCCGGGGAGGGGGGATCCTGCCTGCACACGGGGCTCTCCAGCTGCTGCCTCCATCGCCCCCTCTGCCCTCCCCACTCTGTGGCTTTGGGGTGTGATTCATTTTAATATGTAATTCATTTTAATTTGTAATTCATTTTAAAGGGTTTTTTTTTTGCGTGTCATCTATGGCAGCCTCTCGCCTTGGTGACCTCGTGTTTGGCGGGGACCCAGCCGGGCTGGAGGTGAGGTGGCAGCAGGACCCCGGGGCTGGGGGCGTGGGGGGACACCAGGGGCAGGGCGGGGGACACAGCCAGCCCTGTGAGCTGCTTCACAGGGACAGGGACCTGGCAGAGCCAGCCCTGGGGACACGGGGCTGTGAATGGACTGGCAGTGCTGGGGACACCGTGTCCCTGTCCTGCTCTGGGGGTGACAGGTGGGACAGAGCCATCCCTGGGGGAGCTGGGGCTATGAATGGACTGGCAGTGCTGGGGACACTGTCCTACCCCATGGGGTGACAGCCCAGAGGGGACAGAGCCATCCCTGGGGGAGCTGGGGCTGTGAACAGTCTGGCAGTGCTGGGGACACACCGTGTCCCTGTCCTGTCCAGGTGGGACAGAGCCATCCCTGGGGACACGGGGCTGTGAATGGACTGGCAGTGCTGGGGACACTGTCCTACCCCATGGGGTGACAGCCCAGAGGGGACAGAGCCATCCCTGGGGGAGCTGGGGCTGTGAACAGACTGGCAGTGCTGGGGACACATTGTCCCTGTCCTGTCCAGGTGGGACAGAGCCATCCCTGGGGACACGGGGCTGTGAATGAACTGGCAGTGCTGGGGACACTGTCCTGCTCTGAAGGGTGACAGCCCAGAGGGGACAGAGCCATCCCTGGGGGACATTGGACTGTGAGTGGACTGGCAGTGCTGGGGACACACCGTGTCCCTGTCCTGTCCCATGGGGTGACAGCCCAGGGCCCATTCCCTCCCTCTGGAACCATGGGGGACACCAGGACCTTTGTGTCCCTTGCCTGTGGTGACACCCACAGCTCCTGGGGTGTCCCTGCCCCGGGCACAGCTGGGGATCAGCCGGGGCCCGCCGTGCCTCAGTTTCCCTGGAGCCCTCCCTGGCTCCGGGGGGTGACTCCGGGCCATCTCTGCCGCCTCCCCCGGTGCTCCGGGAGGCTCCTGGTGAGGGCCCGTTGTCCTTAAAAAGGCAGCCGGGAGTTCGGGAGCCTCTGGTTGGCCTCTGCCAGGGCCGGGGGCCAGGGCTGGGGGTGGCCGCAGCCCCCCCGGGCTGTGTCCGGGCTCGGGGACAGCTCCCACCGTGTCCCCTGGGGGGGTCTGAGCTGCTCCCCCCAAAATCCCCCGGGGAGGGATCAGAACCCGGCTCCCCCTCAGTGAGCGATCAGGATTTGGATCCACAACCCCTGGCCTGGCTCGGGCCGAGGATTTGAGGCTTTGGGACAGCAAAAGCCCAAAAATGGGGGCGGAGAGAGAGAAAACCACGGGGAGAGGCATCCCAGGAGCGCCGGGGGGGCAGCGAGGCCGGGAGGAGCCGGGGCAGCTCAGCCCCGGCTCGGGGGTGTCCCCAGAGCCACCTCCACCCCGCAGAGCTCCCCAGGACCTGCTTCCAGCTCCTTTTTCCCAGCCCGTCGCTTATAAGGACTTGTGTCTCACTTGTTTATCGGAGCGCAGCATAAAAGGAACGGACTCCCGACGGGGCCGCTGCCTCCCAAGCATCCCTACCATACATTTTCCTACAATAATTAACCGTGCTGGGTCCTACCACCGGCCCAAGGTCAATTTAATGAAATAAAACACCTTATATGGCCATATGGCCAACACACCATCACTGAGCCTATTTAGGGTCTTTGTTTAGAGCGGATCCGCCTCTGAGGTTCCTGGGGCTCGCTGGTATTTATACCCACGGCTCATCGGGGCTCGGTCCCAGAGGAAAGGAGCTCTCTCGCCTCCGTGGTGAGTACTGCCCTGCCCAGCCCTGCTTCCCTTCTTCCTCGGAGGGCAGCGAGCAGGAAAAACACCCCGGGGGGGGTTTTTATTTGGGGTGCCTCAGCTTTTACGGCGTGCCCCCAGCTGGGTTTGCGTGGCACGGAGGGGGTGCCACCCTCGGCACGACCCCACAGCCGGGAGCCTCGCTGGAGGTGGCCAGAGCTGGGCTGAGGCCAAAACAGGTTGTGCTCTCGCAGAAATCTCCGTGATTTGGGGTTTTTTTTTTTGGCTTTTTGGCCTCCTGCAAGGTTTTGCCTGTTTCCCTCTGGATCAGGGAGCTCATCCTCTGGCACAGGGGGCACCCCCTGGGAAGGGCAATATTTTTTCCCCCCGTTTTTGGGAGCGGATGCGAGGTCAGAGCAGCAAAAGGCTGCTGAGACAGAAGATGAGAGGGCATCACCTGGCACCCCCTGCCCGCTTTCGGGGGGCACGGCAGCACCGGAGCTCCCGGGGGAGGCTTCGCCACCGATTTTGGCCAAGAAGAGGCTGCAGGAGGATGGAGCAGCAGCACCAGCGTGGAGCAGCACCCACGGGGAGCGAGCATCACCACTCTGGGGTCGGCCCACGGAGGATTTTACAGGGCTGCCCATCCCCGAGGACTCCGACACCTCCGAGCCCAAACCCGGCGGCGCTGGCGCGGGACGAGCCCGGTGCCGGCCTCTCTGTAACACCCCTCTCCCCCCCGGGCAGCTTTTCCCCCAGGTCCCCCCAGCACCGAGCGCTGCCACCCCGCCATGTGCGACGAGGAAACCACGGCCCTGGTGTGCGACAACGGCTCCGGCCTCTGCAAGGCCGGCTTCGCCGGCGACGATGCCCCCCGCGCCGTCTTCCCCTCCATCGTGGGGCGGCCCCGGCACCAGGTGGGTACCCGGGGGGGCCTGGGCAGCCCCCAGCCCCAGCTGGTCGCGGAGCGCGGCTAACGAAGCCTCTCCCCCCGCGTTAGGGTGTCATGGTGGGCATGGGGCAGAAGGACAGCTACGTGGGCGACGAGGCGCAGAGCAAGAGGGGCATCCTGACGCTCAAGTACCCCATCGAGCACGGCATCATCACCAACTGGGATGACATGGAGAAGGTGAGGCCCTGGCGGGGCGGGGAGGGGGGTCAGCCCGGCCTTTGGTTTGGGGTGACAGCCTGGTTCTCTGCCCGCCTCAGATCTGGCACCACTCCTTCTACAACGAGCTGCGTGTGGCCCCCGAGGAGCACCCCACCCTGCTCACCGAGGCACCCCTCAACCCCAAGGCCAACCGGGAGAAGATGACCCAGGTAGGGCCCTGGAGATGACCCCTGGATGGGGCTGGACCCTCCAAAACCGCAGGAAGGGCTGGGGAAGGGGGGGATGTGGGCGTTTTGTGGGGTGCAGGATAAGGGCAGAGATCCCAGTGGGAATCCCCCTGATGGCCCTGGGGGTCTCTTGGCAGCGCGTGGACCTGCAGGATTTGCCCCACCATGTGCTCCCCAGTCTGCACAGCCCCACGTGGCTCTGTGCACTGCGGTGACCCACGTTTCCATGCCATCCTGACCCACGTGCTCCCTGCTCCATGCACGGCCCCACGTGGCTCTGTGCGCTGCCATCCCCCACGTTTCCACCTCTGGGCCCACGTTTTCCCATGACCCACATGTTCCCGTGTCCTCCTCCATGCCCCACAACTCCACCACCCACCCGTTCCTCCATGCCCCACAACCATCCCCGTGTTCCTCCCCGCCATGCCCTGACCCCAGGAAGGCACAGGGGTGGGGTGGGGCGTGCTGGCGACCCCCGTGCCCTCCCCTACCCCCCTGCCCCTCTCGTCTCCCCTCCAGATCATGTTTGAAACCTTCAACGTCCCCGCCATGTACGTCGCCATCCAAGCCGTGCTCTCCCTCTACGCCTCCGGCCGCACCACCGGTGAGCAGGGGACCGTGGGTGACCGTGGGTGACCGGGACCGGCCTGAGCGTCCCTCCTCACCTTTCCCGTGTCCCAGGCATCGTCCTGGACTCCGGGGACGGCGTCACCCACAACGTGCCCATCTACGAGGGCTACGCCCTGCCCCACGCCATCCTGCGTCTGGACCTGGCCGGCCGCGACCTCACCGACTACCTCATGAAGATCCTCACCGAGAGGGGCTACTCCTTCGTCACCACCGGTACGGGCGCGGGGAGGCGGCCTTGGGGACGGGGACGCGGCGGTGCCGCCGCGCCGAGCCGGGCTGAGCCGGGCTGAGCCTCCCCCGCCGCCGTGTCCCGCAGCCGAGCGGGAAATCGTGCGCGACATCAAGGAGAAGCTGTGCTACGTGGCGCTGGACTTCGAGAACGAGATGGCCACGGCCGCCTCGTCCTCCTCGCTGGAGAAGAGCTACGAGCTGCCCGACGGGCAGGTCATCACCATCGGCAACGAGCGCTTCCGCTGCCCCGAGACGATCTTCCAGCCCTCCTTCCTGGGCATGGAGTCCTGCGGCATCCACGAGACCACCTTCAACTCCATCATGAAGTGTGACGTGGACATCAGGAAGGACCTGTATGCCAACACCGTGCTGTCGGGGGGCACCACCATGTACCCGGGCATCGCCGACCGCATGCAGAAGGAGATCACGGCGCTGGCGCCCAGCACCATGAAGATCAAGGTGGGCAGGGTGTGAGGGACGAGGGAAGAGATGAGGAGTCTGACTCCGTGTTCTCAGAAGGCTGATTTATTATTTAATCATATTATAGCTCTACTAACACTAGACTAAAGAGAAAGGACACATCAGAAGGCTTAACTAGAATGAATGATAAAAACTCGTGACTCTTCAGAGCCTCGACACAGCTGGACCATGATTGGCCATTAAATTCAAACAATTCACACGCTGGGTAAACAATCTCCAAATCGCATTCCAAAGCAGCAAAACAGGGAGAAGCTGAAGCTTCTCAGCTTCCCAGGAGAAGAAATCCTGGCGAAGGGATTTTTCAGACAATATCACAGTGACAGGCAGGGCTCCGTGGGGAGGGCAGGGTGGGCACAGGGGGGCTGGAATGGCTCTGACCCCCC